TATAGTGCTCTGAGCACTAGAGACAGGTCCCAAGAAAATATGGAGTGGGGCTGTGGAGGATTTAACCTTCTCGCCCCTCTAAGGGACCTGATGATCAGGTCATGCTTCCCCACCGACTTCCCTTCGACGGGGTTGTGGTTGGCAGCAATTGCAGCCACGTAGACTTTAAGGGTGGAGGGAGACAGCCTTCGCTCCAACCCCTGCTGTAGAAAGGACAGCACGACTCTGATGAATCTGCCAAAGAGGGGCTGTCACGAGGAAAAACAGTTCCGGGAACCAAGTCAGAGTGGGCCAGTAAGGCACCACGAGCAGGACCTGCTCCTCGTCCTCCCTGATCTTGCACAGTGTCTGTGCGAGAAGGCTCACTGGGGGAAATGCGTACTTGCGCAGGCCCCACGACCAGCTGTGTGCCAGTGCGTCCGAGCTGAGTGTTCCCTCGATCAGGGAGTAGAACAACTGGCAGTGAGAGGTTTCTGGAGAGGCAAACAGTTCTACCTGAAACAACTTAAAATCAGCTGGACCGTCTGGGGATGGTGTCTCCATTCTGCCGGGAGCGCAGCTCGTGACAACTCGTCGGCTGCCCGCTTGTGCAGACCAGGAATGTGAATGGCACAAAGCAACCTCAGATGCTTCTGACTCCAGAGGAGGAGGTGGCGGGTGAGTTACGACATTTGACGGGAACGTAGACCACCTTGTCGGTTGATGTACGCAACGGTTGCAGTGTTGTCCGTGCGGACTAGTACTTGCTTGCTCTGTGCGAGAAGGCTCACTGGGGGAAATGCGTACTTGCGCAGGCCCCACGACCAGCTGTGTGCCAGTGCGTCCGAGCTGAGTGTTCCCTCGATCAGGGAGTAGAACAACTGGCAGTGAGAGGTTTCTGGAGAGGCAAACAGTTCTACCTGAAACAACTTAAAATCAGCTGGACCGTCTGGGGATGGTGTCTCCATTCTGCCGGGAGCGCAGCTCGTGACAACTCGTCGGCTGCCCGCTTGTGCAGACCAGGAATGTGAATGGCACAAAGCAACCTCAGATGCTTCTGACTCCAGAGGAGGAGGTGGCGGGTGAGTTACGACATTTGACGGGAACGTAGACCACCTTGTCGGTTGATGTACGCAACGGTTGCAGTGTTGTCCGTGCGGACTAGTACTTGCTTGCCTCGTAAGCGCCCTTTGAGACGGATCAAGGCAATGCACACTGCCAGCAACTCTAGGCAATTGATGTGCCAGTGCAGTTGGTGGCCCATCTAAACCCCCAATACTGCAAGCCCATCGAACGTGGCCCCCAGCTAGTGGTAGAGGCATCCGTGTGAACCACAGCATGCCTGGAGACCTGTTCTAGGGGCACTCCTGCCAGGAGAAACGGAAGGTCTGACCAAGGAGAGTTTGCTCTTTTCCTAGTTGACCCGAAGGCCCAACTGGCTGAGATGCGAAAGCACCAAGTCCCTGTGTGCACACAACTGATCCTGAGACTGAGCTAGTACGAGTCAGTCGTCAAGGTAGTTGAAAATGTGAACGCCCTGTTCTCTCAAGGGAACAAGGGCTGTCTCCGCAACTTACGTGAAGACACGGGGTAACAGGGACAGCCCGGAGGGCAGGACCTCGTACTGATATGCTCTTTCTTAGGAATCCAACCGCAGCAATGGTCTGTGGCGTGGAAGGATCGACACATGAAAGTACGCATCCTTCAGGTCAATCGCAGGGACGGATGCACCCGAAGATGCGACCAGCAGGACCACTGACATACCTGCGGTGGGGCAGCGAGGTGGAATGCAGGGACCTGAAGAGGGGTCTGAGTGTGCAGTGCAACACTTACCTGGTTCCACGGTTTGGCAGAGGGTGCGTGAGTAGGGCTTTGACAATGCTCTTGAACCGCCCGCTGCTGCCTGTTGGCGAGAGATGGATGAGTGTGGTCCAGTGTTGGTCTGTCCGCGACTCTCCATGCCCTCTTGGGACCCAGAGACAGAGAAAACCGCTCTCCTGTCGAGATTTTTGGAAACCAGATTCTCCACCCAGCCCTCCTCCAGGGGAAGGGAGAGGTGCATCCTTCTCTCTCTGGGTCGCGCGTCCTGAGGCCTCTTGCTCTTCCGCTCACCGCCAAGTTGACGGGGGCCTGGACGGGCGGGGCGGCCTGCCTACGCTCAGCTCCACGGCGCCGCTTGCTTGAGGCTGCTGCAGATGTGGCACAGGAGCGGGGGTGGATGCAGGAGGCCGCCCTCGGCGACGAGCAGGCTGGGGCGCTGCAGCCGGCAAACGGGTGGAGGCAGCAGCTGCCCGCCAGGGCAGAAGGCCGGACCACCTCAGTTTGCTCCTATGCAGCCGAGAACTGCTGGGCCATGTTCTCGACTGCATCGCCGAAAAGGCCGGTCTGGGACACAGGGACCTTGAGGAACCAAACTTTGCCGGCGTCCCTCATGTCGACCAGACACAACCAGAGGTGATGCTCCTGGACCACAAGTGTGGACATCGCACGACCCAGAGAACTCACGATGACCTTCGTCGCTCGGAGCGCGAGATCGCTACAGTTCGGAGCTCTTTAAGAACTTCCGGATCGTGACCACCCTCATGCAGGTCCCTCAGTGCTTTAGCTTGAAGAACCTGCAGTAACGCCGTAGCGTGTAAGGCGGAGGCAGCTTCTCCACAGGCCGTATAAGCATCGCTGGCCAGACAAGTACCTACAGACCCGGGAGGGGAGGCACAGTTCGCCCTGCCGGGTGGAGGCGGTGTTAGGACACAACTGCATCGCAACCGACTGCTCTACCGGGGAGACCCCCATATACACCCTAGCTCCACCACCATCGAGAGTGGTGAGGGAGGAGGAGTTAGCAGGTCGGTATCCAGCAGAAAAAGGTGCCATCCACAACCTGGTAAGCTCCTCATGCACTTCCGGGAAGAATGGACCACCCCGAAGAACCAATTGTCCAACCTTGAGGGTTCGGGACACGGTGGAGGTCTCCACTCGAGCCCTACCCTCACGGTGGCCAGGGAAAGCATAGCCGTTATTTCCGGATCCGATTCAGGCATTGCTACAGTCCCGGAGGACAGCAGCGCAGCCGAATCTTTCATTTTCATCACATTTACATTTTCTGAGCCAACAATATAACGTGAAACCTATGAAAATGGTTTAAAAAAGCACATGGCGCTATAGTTTCATCACTGTAGAGTGTCGCAGTGACCGTCTTTTTGCAGTAAAGAACCGGTCATAGTTTAATGAGTGGGAAGATGACATGAAGTCACGCGAGGTTAGCTGCACTGAAAACAGATGAGTGTGCATGTGCATATTATATAGCTCCCGATCGGGGCGAAGTTCACAGGATTTTGTCCACAGAACGATAAGAGCACACGTTTTAACGTATTCTTTTTTTTATTTCACACTCAGTATTTTAAGCCATGCATACAGCGCCGGACATGACAGGTTTTCTGGTATGCAAAACAAGTACTTTAAAGGAATTCCTTAGCTTATTGCCGTTACTGTGGCAGCTAACAACAGCACAGCGTGCACCCTGCGCACATTTTTATATTTAGTTATATTTAAAAAGTTTAAATTCAGTTGATCTTTTTTTACCCTGTTTTAACATGGATCTCTATGGAGACTGGCCGTAGCTGTCAAGCAAGATGGCAGATAGCAGCGGAGGCACATAATATCTGCGTTCTGATTTGTCAGATACCCTGTCAATCAAGCTCTTTGGGAACGGTCAATTTCGGTGGAAAAGCAGCTTTAGATCACCTCTCAGAAGCAGAACAACAAAAATGTGTGAACAAAAGAGCACCTGATTAAAATCACTAAAATCATTAAAAAAAAATCAATAAAACACAGTAAGACATTCTAAAACACATGAAAAATGCTTAACATGGTTTAATGCAATAAGAGTGTTATTAAAATATCCAATTCAAAATACACCTTATTGATGATACATCTTATATACAGGCAAGCACTTGAGCCCAGTATATGAACAGATGTCTAAATGCATTAGGCCATATTAGGCATTTTCTTTGTAATGGTTTTCGGTTGGAAAAAGCTTAATATGCAATTTAGTGCATTGTGTTCATATTCTGGGTGAATCTGTTCACCTGCATATAGTTCGCATCATCAATGAGGTATATATTGAATTTTGTCTTTTAATATTACTGTCTAACTACATTAGTACTTAGTGCAAACTTGGTAAAAATGAATGGCATTCAGTGGAGGACAGCTTTGTTTTGCCCTCCAGCTGGGCATTCCTGTAACTATGAATAAAAGAGTACTCTATTTACAGTTTTGAGGAGGCTCCGAGAACACTTTGAAAATTGCTGATCTAGGCAGTTCTAGAGAAAAGCAATGGCAGCCAACTTTCATTTGTGAGCAGGACTCGAGGAAAAAAATTTGACATTAAAGCATGCAACAATGATAACTGATAAAGGCATGGGTACATGCTAGTGATGCGCGGATGGCGGTTATATCCGCGGGTCGGGTAATAAAAAAAATTCATTCTAATGAATTGTGGGTGGGTCGTGGGTGGATGAGATAAATCATTAGTGATGTAAATATTCTCTAAATTATGAACGTGTTTTAAATGCGTTTTTTTTTCTCATCAGGCATACAGACACTTGTGTGTGTGTTCGCCTGTTCAGGAAGTTGCAGTGACAGAAACAGTGACATTCTAGATAAAGTTTGAAGGGAGTAAAGCCTGTGTTTATGCTATTAAGAAAGTGTAGGCTATAATCTGGCCAAAGAAGAGCTTTTATTTTATAATTAAATGGATTTATAATTCAACTGGATTCGCGAGACCACAAGATTTTGGGATGCTTCAGAAAAGTGCAGCAGCGCAGCTTGTATAAACGCAAGCACTGACTAGAGCGGCCGGGATCAGCGCCGCGCCACAGACGTGTGCAGCGATGCACAGTTCAGCTCTCACTCACGTCACTGAATCTGCTGTTACAAATGAACTATCCATTCATCATATCATCATGCAAAACTAAGAATTAGTCTAATTAGAATCATTGTAATGTGACGATCGGGTGCGGGTCGGGTCGGTTATCTAAATCAGAGAAAAATATAGGTGCAGGTGGGTGACAGGTGAATAATTTATTTGAAGCAGTGAATTCGGGTGACATTTTAGCTCATCCCGTGCATCTCTAGTACATGGACATGAAGCATAGACTTTATGAGCAATAACTGATAGTATGTAAGATGCAACAGTAAAGACTTTAGAATCTAGTCATCCACCTCTTCATTAAAACTACAATCATAAAACGGTGCACAATATTCCTGAACTGTCAATTTTTCAATAGAAACAAATATTCTTGAAACTATAATTTCGCAAGAAAGTAATGCTTGTCCATGGTTGCTATGTGATTGCAATGGTGCTCTATGTGGTTGCTAGCATGCTGCTGAGTAGTCCCAAGTGGCCCCAAAATATGATATGGGTCCCGACTTCAGTGAAACTACTTGAGTAGTTTGTTTTTTTTTGTCCGCCAGATAAAAAAAGTGTTGAGTTACACACCAAAGCTAAATATTAGAGTAAGCATGAACAACAGTAATAGCAGTAATAGTAATTTTCACCTTAACAAACCTATTATTATAAGTGTTCAGAATAAACATTTCCTAATAGCCATGTAACAGGATTTATTAAGATCTAAAAATACTCTATTGCTAACCTTGTCTTCACAGGTGCAGCCCAGGTCATCATTAAGAGCTGTGACTGGTCCTACAGGGTTTGGCTTGCACACTTCTTCAGGCATGCTGGGTATGTATACAGGGGCCCTCAAAAGCTGGTTAAGGCTACCATGGGTACCATTATTAGGGGCAGGCTTCAAACCAAGGAGATCTGGGAAACACAGAGGCAAAAAATCTTATGTGCTGACACCCACTGTAAAGTATTAAACAATCAAGAGTTATTAGAGTTGCCAAGTATGCATTTTTATGGTATTGAACAACTTTTACATATTTGCTGTGGGTATTTTTATTTCTAAATAGAAATTAATTTATTTTAATTTTAATTACATTTATATTACATAATCTGCTTTTAATAAATTCATATCATACATAATTGATTCTTGACGCCAGACAGAGGGGGTCACATACACACTTTACTCTCCTCTCCACTAATGCATTAATACATTGATTGATATTGAAAAATAATGTGCAAGCAGAAGATCATTATGGGTAATAAAAATGCTGCTGTATGCGTTTTTGTATTTATTATTCAACCAAATTCCTTAAAGCCTGTCCTGTCTCAGCTCTAATTTCATTTATTCACAAAGATGTCGATTGGCAGTCAAGCTCAGGTTTTTTTTTTTTTAATGGCGCTTAACTTGTGAATTTTTTTTATGCTTTGGAAGTGTTTATATTATGAGCACCATTTACCTGTCCCTGTCATGCAGACCTGGCGACCCTGAACATTATGCAAAATTATGAATCGAGATCAGTGCTTTTGTACGGAAACTCAAAATTAATGCAGTAATCAGGATTAGTGAGGATTACTACAGAATGAAAAATAGAGATTTTCTCACCACACATGACATTATAAAGCTCAATATTCTCAAAAGGTGGAATTTTTGTCTTGAATTTGAAAGATGGTCCATATCCAAGGAAAATGGTCTGAAAAGAAGATCAAAGTCAGTCACTAAAGTACCAAAAAGTTTAACACAATATTTTCAGCAACATCTACGAAAATTGCAATTCAAACACAAACCTGCATGCTGTTGATCTTATTGTCATATCCGTGATCACCAGCAAACCCACATTTCCCATGATTCCTTTTTGATTCATATAACTTCCTGTATCAGAGAGACAACCAAAGTAGGTAATTGAGGGTTCTTCTCCTCAAAGAAAAACATTCACGGGAGACATGGAGCAGTTTTTCAACTATATAAATATAAATAATCTTTAAAACATACAAGCAAATAGTCAGTAATAAAAAAACAAAGAAAACCATTAAATCATGCTTTTTCTCCCACTTCAAGAATGTCTCAAATATTTATTAAAGCAAGTCACAAGTCAATGACTTGTTAATGTTGCTAACAACAACTTAGTATTTGTAGATGGCATGCTTAAATCTCTGCGGCCCCAGATAAGGGTCCAAAACCACATTAAAAGTGTTTATGCTTCATTTTCAAAGCCTTGCTTATATGGTATCAGCCCATATATGGTATCATTTGAAAGCTTAGTCTCATCTTTACAAAGAATAATAATTACGTTTGGTTTTATGATACATAAAGTAGTAAAATTAAGCTTAGAAATGTATTCGTCCCACACATGAATTTCCGCCTAATGATTGTGAATAATTTTTCCAAAGAATGTGTACTTTTTATATTTTTCACAAAACAGTCATCATATATCACAAGAAAGCTCATTGTGTGACAATCACAGATCGAATGATCTTCAACAGAATCACGATGTGAAATTTGATACCTCGGAGGAAAAATTGAAATGCGTCACATTCCTACTCGCACTACTGCTTCAGTCAGCCGCAAACAGCCACAAACTCTATAATATCTTTTAGATTAGGATCTCTTCTTTCAATCGAGACCATTTTCACGTCTCTGCGTGCTTCCATTGGTGAGAGATATTTTGTTATGTCGCAGAAGCGCACCTGAGAAAAAAAGATGCCCTTTTGGCAAGCACGCGCTCTCCAAATCATAGCAGCGGCTCTTATCTTTTACAACCCTGGGCTGCTCAGTGGGCTGCAGTAGGTTAGATTACTCGCAGATCAAGCGCTGGCCACTCAGAGCCGTGCAATTTGATACCTCTGGGTCAATAGACAGGAGGGAGAGAGGGAGGTTCCGGGTCAGCGCTGGAGCTGTATTGAGCGTGGGTCTTGTAGTTACGGACTGTTTGAAGGCGATAATGGCGCTGAAAGGCAATGGCACGGATAAAAGTAATCTTTGAAAGCGAAACAAAAAGCTGAAGAAATGAAGAACAGCCAGAGACCGTGGAGAGGACAGGACGTGCAGCTGATAAGCGCATCTACAAGTATTTATAGTGCTTATATTCAGGTTTGTGATATAATTATAATCAGTTTGAAACGTGAAAGCACCGCAAACAATCTGATAAACTATGTATTGACAGTAAAGTACAGTACAGGAGGTGTATCAGTAAATATATATGGATATTATTACAGTGCTGTGTTTATAAACAGCTATTTCTTTGTTTCACATTCTGAAGATCAGACAGCAGCAGCTAGCAGCACAGCTCGCGTCTCATCTCCAGGAGGCAGGCAGTATGCTAATGCAGAGGTGATGCAGGGGACGGAAAAAAAAATTATGCACATAAATGGAATGATATAAAGCTGGAGGATGTGAATTCTGTTTTAGATTGTAATAAACCACATGGATTTTACAATTTATAGAGTCTTGTGTCTCCTGAAAGAAAAAAACTGATTGTATAGAACACAAAATGTGATATTTGGTCTAATTTGCGTATGCCATTTTGTATATTGCTACTTAGACAAACATAAAAATGAAACATAATTAAGTCAATAATCAAGAAAAGTGCTATGGCATATAGTAAAATAGGATTCTGGGGGTAATGTGCTTCATAAAACCTGTTTTTGCAAAGGAAACTGTAGCATCTGCTTAGGATCACTGATGATCGTTTTGTCATTTGCAAATAAATTACAGACATGGCCCCACATTCTACATTTATATGGGTGCTAAATTGCCAATGGTTCCCCCTACTATCAAGGAGATGCTAAACAGTTCACCGCTCTCGCCTCCCCATCTGACTTCAAACACATTCCAATGTCCTGGGAGACAGTCATCCTCAGTACCTGGCACCAAATGTTTGATGGCCAGCGAACTACCCCCATGCTCACAATACACATAACACACACAAAGATGTTTTCTTTGTTTAGACTACAATTAATCAGTTATAAATGTATCTGGTTTATGCATGTGTTGTTTATATGTTTCCCTATTATATTAGCCTTAGTTACCACTCGCTATTTGTATTAGTTAAGCTCTAAATGCTTATATTCAGGTGTATATTCAGGTGCAACCTCTGGTTTAATATCTTCTAGATGTTTCTTTCTTGTATCAAAATGATCTGCTCTTTATTCCTCAAACAATGATGTGCACTATGTGATTGTGAAATGCATCATACTATTTGTACTATATTTTGGGTAAAACTGCACCAGTCCTGCAGACCAGCCATAAACATGCAAATGGGCCATAAATGGAGACAAAGAAAACTTCTCCCGCTCAAAAATTCACGCCTGGTATTGGCCATTCCACCCAAAAGGTGGGCGTGACTAGGAACTATTAAAAGTCATTAACTCAGACTAATCTTTGCTCAAAACCCTTCTTCTTGAGACGGACACTCTCCAAGACTCCTCAAAACTCTCCTCTTGATTTTCCGGCGGCTTTTTATCTTCAAGTAACTTTGCCGATTACCTGTGGACTTTCCTATCTTCAGAAGAACCAGAGGAAAACCTCCAGCTCACTCCTAAAGAACTAATCAAGAACTTCTGTGCCTACCGCATCAGGACTCTTGTTCAGCAATAAAGCCAATGCAAGTAATTTACCATTTACATTTACAATTATTTAGAAGCGTGTTTAAGTTTGAGGCTCTTTTTAAGGTGATTTTTGATTCTCTGATGATTCTCATTAGGTTGTGGTTAATCGATGTGAAATACTGCCATTCTTTTGCTCTCCTCTCTCTCTTCCTTACTTTCCTTCATTCTGTATATATGTGTTTTGCTTAATGTAGTTGTATGTTAGCTATAGTTTAATTTATTAAATCCCTTATATTCACAACTGATTGTCTCTGTGTGCTGCTCACAATTCTGAGTCACTGAATGTTGATCCTTGTTACATGCTAAATTACTGCTAGTACTGCATAAAGTAGGAAAGCTATTCTTCCTTGGCCAGGAAAAAAATATTTCCTAGAATTAATCAATTATTATATTGTCTGCTCGGTGGACAGACAGATCAAATAATTGTAATATTGATTCTGCTACAGTTAATTCTAAAATCTAATCTAAATATTTATTATTAAGTATAACCAGTCATAATTAATTATAAATATTTCCCTTTTGAGCTAATTTGCTACATATAATGGTGGAGAACAATGTGGGCATGATAAAACAAAGGTTATGAGTTTAAAACACTGTCAACCTAAAAGTGGGTGTTTGATAATCCAAATAAGAATAGGGCGTGACTTGCGATACGCATTTGTTTCCCTATTTGCTGGCTTGTTTATATGCTGTGACGGCCTGCATACCTGCCTGCTTTGTGGTTTTGTTTGTTTTTGTGTTTCAGTGGGGCGGGGCTGCAGTCCGAATGCAGATGGAGGACACCTGGGCCCGGAGTCTTCCCTCATTATAAAAGCTTCCCACTTTTCCCTGTTGTTGTTGTTTGTTTGTGTGTGTGTGTGTGTGTGTGTGTGTGTGTGTGTGTGTGTGTGGGGGGGGGGGGGGGGGGTTTTTTTTTTTTTTTTTAAAACGTGTTTTTGCATGTTTTTTTTAAAGTGAATTTGATATTTGTGTGTGCGCTTAGAAGAAAAGAGCATAAGAGAGACTGTGTGTAAAAGATGAAAGCGATTCAGATGCTGCATTCAGAACACCAAGAATCCCCTCATGACACCCAACAAATTAAGTGCCTCGGTGTGTGTGTGTGTGTGTGTGGGGGGGGGGGGGGGGAGTTTGTCTCTCCCACGCACCACCTTTTTATGTTGCGTTTGGGTTTAATTATTATTTCGTTTGTTAAATAAATGTATTATATTTTGATTCAACCCCTGCTTCCCTCTTTTTTGTCATAATCTTTGAGCCGGGTTATGCCAAATGGGGGCTCATCCATGAATGCGATGTTTGACCAGGGTGGGTGAAAATCTAGGTAAGTACTGTAAGTATTCTAAATTAAACTAATTTTTTAATAAGGTGCTTCTCTGTTAAGTTTAGTGGCGTTACTCCTTTGGGTTTCGCCTGGTTTGTTTGTGTAGTGTTGCGGTGAAAGTGCACAGAGCAGTTGTCTCAGGGGCACTTCCGTGGGTTTAGGAGAGTTGCCAGTTTCTGGTTGCTTTTCTTATCCGTCAGGTTTTGTGCATAATGGAACCACCATCAGTAGCCGCATGAAGACCAGGGTTGAGTTTTATTTAGGTAGTTTTGGGGTTGAGGTAGTTAGTTAGAGAGGCACACCTTATTTTTGTGCTATAGATTGAGTGCTATTAATTGTGGTTGATATTTCTTGCACATGGTTAAAATGTCTACGGTAGAGGAATTTATAGCATCTCCATCAGAAGCATTATTAGATCTCTGCACAAAAGAGCAGCTTCTTAAAATAGCTGAACATTATGGTATTGATGTCAGCAGTAATATGCTTAAAGAACGACAAAATTCTATTTTGAGTAGTAATTTAATTGAAAGAGATTTTATCAGAAAAATCGTCTGTTTCATTACCTTTGCTTTCCATGTTGACTTCAAATTTAACATTTGAACAAACTAGCAGGTGATTGGGTTTGTTCTGATATTTCACCATCTGTCGTGGTGGAGCAAAAATTTCTGTTAGATCGGGACCGGGATTAGGCGGGCAGGATTTTTCTGAAGTTTTTACTGCCTGTGCAGTAACGCACGCTATGTTGCGCATAAAATTGAATGCAGATTCTGCTGCATGGTTTAGTTTGAATAAACCTTTGGAGAAATTTTCCTTGCCTTTGTCTTATTTTCCTTTGTATCTCACAGTGAGCTGGTCTCGGAGCAACAGGCGGATTCCTCTTTATTGGAGTTGTTTCAACTTGTTAAACCCGACACTGAGGTAGAGGAAAGTGCCAGTGGATATTTTCA